CTTTATTCTGGAGACCAGCAGAGCAGTCCAGTTCATACTGTATACAACAACACAGATATGGTTTAACTGGCAGCTCATTATAGTCTGCACTGTTTCTAATGGTCAGCAGGGGGCGACAGAGAGCCGAATGAGAAAATGACCTCACTGCTCTCTTGATCTGCAGCCACTGATGAGATTTTGATCTTGATTGCTAGTTTCCAGTAAGCTTTGAAACTACACGTTGCTCATAGTCACATGCAGAGTAAAACAGTCGATAAAGCAGAATATGCTGTAGGGAGTAGTTACCCTGTGATCGACAAGTTAGTCGATCAGATGAGTGTGGAATATCCTCTCAGACTGACACATCTAGATTTTTTTTAAAACCCTACAAAACAAGACGGCAGCAGCTGAGACTTTGAAGTCAAATGACCAATGTCAGAGAGGCTACCCCCAACAGTTACAGTACTACGCAAAAATCTCGAGCCAACCCCCTTTTCTTTATATTTTGCTTGGAAATTGGTGTATCTAAATTTGAAATCATACACGGAAATGGGGTATATAAATGGTAAATGGCCTGTATTTGTATAGCGCTTTACTAGTCCCTAAGGACTCCAAAGCACTTTACACAACCAGTCATCCACCCATTCACACACTGGTGATGGCAAGCTACATTGTAGTCACAGCCACCCTGGGGCGCACTGACAGAGGCCAGGCCGGACACTGGCGCCACCGGGCCTTCTGACCACCACCAGTAGGTGGTAGGTGAAGTGTCTTGCCCAAGGACACAACAACCGAGACTGTCCAAGCCGGGGCTCGAACCGGCAACTTTCCGATTACAAGGCGAACTCCCAACTCTTGAGCCACGATCGCCCCGGTACATAAGGCAAAAACAATGTCTGTATGATTATAATGAGCTTGAAAGTCAATCATTTATGTGACCAACTTCGAAAATCTTCAGCACAGTCTAAACTCTAGTATTTTCTTTTCTGTATTTTCTTTAAGTAGTATTCAGAAATAGTTCTGGAGGACATTCAGCTTTTTTCTTTGTTGGTTGCCTTTTGTTCTGTTCTCTATCAACATTATCACACAATGCTTTAATAATTATCAGGTCTGGGCTCTGGAGAGGCCAATCCATGACTGGCAGTGATCCACTGTGTTTTTCTATTGAGGTATGCTTTTACTGCATCTCTGGCGTTTCTGGGATTCATTTTGACAACATCTACAACACCATTGGCTGAAATACACCCCTGAACCATGACAGAGCCTCCACCATGTTTTACAGATGGCTGTAGACCCTTAGCTGTTGTACTTCTCTCCCGACCTCCTCTCTACATCTGTTGCATCCAATTTCATTATGCATGTCCAATAACAATAAACATAATGCTGTTCATTACTACGTATCAATGATTTGAACAAAATATTACACTTACATTCATCACTCCATTAGACCTGTTGTCACTGATTTTTGTCCAGTTCTTGTGTAATGTGGCATATGTCAGCCTTTTCTCCCTGTGTCCCTTCCTTAAGAATCCTTTCTTGATGCCCGTCCCTCCACTGAGAGCATTTGTGATGAGGTTTTAGTGAACAGCAGAAGGGTTAGCTGAAGGGCCAGATGCATTTCTCAGGTCATGTTTCAGGTCTTTGTTGGAATTTTTCCCACTTCTTCAGGACATGAATTTCAGAGACTGTTCATCTGCTGTTGATAGTTTTAAAGAAGTTTTTAAGCCACATTTATCCTCCACTTGTTCCGCTTTATCAGCGTTTTTACAGACACACTGCACACTATGTTGAGATAAGCCAAGATTTTGGCTAAAAGCTATTTGAGCTGATGTCTTTCATAGATTTGAACTAAAGAAATCAGTTCTTTGTTGTTGTAAAACAAAACTGTTTTACTCCTTAAGTTTTTTTAATTATATATTTGAATGATTCAAATGATTCATAGGTCAGTGTTAAGAGTTTTAACAAATAAGTAAAAAAAAAACCCCCGAAAAAGGGCAAAGAACGGAACCAAAAAAAACGAAAAAACAATCAAGGATGAAAAGAAAAAAAAAAAAACTATAAAAGACCTGCAGAAAGCCTGACTCCTTCCAACCAAAATCTCAAGAAATGACGTGTGGCCCAAGACTTTTACATGTTATTGTATGTTGCTATTGTCTATTTTTAGAGCTTTACACAGAGATGAGGCTGCACAGTGAAAACCTACAATGCAATGTAAGTTTTATAATGTCTGCTGCATGATTTAAAATGACTTTTAACAAGAATTTACAGTTTCATGATGATGATGTATCCCCTTTAAAAAATGATTAGATTAAGAAAATAGACATGAATAAATTCAAATCAAATAACAAGTCAATTCTTAGATATCATGTTGTGTGCTTGTGTTATGCAAATGTGTGTAATGTCTAATTTTCTTCCCCGTTTTCTCCAGCACCCTTGATGAGGCGTTTGTTGCCCCTTTTCCCTCCCGGGCCACGGGGCTTGACAAATGCCTGCTTTAAAGTGTGCTCCATGGGGTGCACCTCCTCATACAGGAAGTCTTCTGTCAGACCATCACCACTGTCTATCTCCATCTAAGCAGGTATGGAGAGTAGACAGTCATTAGACAGTTTACACAGTGACAGTGGTACTACAGATTATTTGTCACCGTCTCTGTGGGAGAGCTGTACCTTTTTAGTGACTTCCAGCTGGTAGTCTCTCTCCACCTCGTCCAGTAGCCTGTTCTTACAGCTGGAGTATAACATCCGCTCCTTGATGCTACAGGTGTACCCAGGCATCGAGTATATAAACACTGAAACAAAGATGAAGCTGATCTGTTGATATTTTCTGCCTCACACAATCAGCTTCACTAGCTACTTCACTACTTTCTGTTATAGATGACGTACTGTGCTCATATTTTTACTGCTGGACTCTACTAGAGTAACTAGAGAAGTGCGATTCTCAGTTCAAAATCATTCTTATTGTTTGTACACTGGGACTTGTGGAATATCTACTATCTGAAACAAGGTTAAGCTCCTGTCTCTTTAAGGCTGACTTAATTGTTATTGGCTGGCTCTTGCAAACAGGTTTGCAAGAGCCTTTTGTTGGTTTCATACAGGTCCAAGAGTCGAAAAAAAGTTACTCAAAAAAATTATCCTTGATAAATGATACTTCTTGTGCAAACTCTGATTTCCTCATTTGTACATAAGCATCATTCATGCGCAAGACCATAGTGGGTCTTAAATAAAAAGAGACACAGGCCTAGATAGCTGCAAACGTTACATATTGTAGATCCGACTGGAACATCCTATAATTAAGCACACATGAGGCTGTATAAAAATCTGTATAAAACCAGTATAAAAATCGCTTGTACAAAAGGTTCAAACTAGATTAACAGGTCGGCAGCTGATTATATAAAACAAACAATGTTTTTAAATAGGTTTCGCATGAAAAGGAGACACACAAGCTTATATCTCCTCTGTCACTGTCAATGGTAATTCATGTACACGTGTACTGGAACAAAACAGGCATTCATTTGCAGCTGTTATGGAGACTGGAATAGTCAAGTCCAAGTTAACACTCAAATCTTTTTAGCTTTTTGGCCCAGCCGCTGACAGAAATAGCTGCTATATCTGTAGCTCGGTCATCAATGTTCATAATTCTAACTGTTTGTGTCTGCTTATTGGTGCTGGCTTTATCAGAGCTTCTTCACAGCTGCCTGTTACTTGAAATCAGGCCAGTGAAAGCAGAGAACATAAACAACAGAACCAAACAACGAGGCGAAAGATGATAAAATCCCCCACAGACCTGAGGACACTGCAGAGTTCACATTATACAGCAAATGTGATTTGTCAGTATCTATAAAAACACTTATTTGTGAAGTGAATAAACTGAGTGGTGCAGTGTTGTTGGCGGAAATTCAGTGCCCTTTTTTATATGTGTATTGTGCACACTTGTTAATTATTTTTGTAATTTTTATTTTCGTGTTTAAAATCAATCAATCAATCAATCAATCAATCAATCTGGCATATAGGTAGTGGTTGTAGATGAGTTGGCATCTTTCATGCAAACTATGGGGGACCAAAGCAATCACTGGGAGATTTTTGGTGTAGCACCCACTTTGCGACCAGTTTTACCCAGCAACCACTCAGCAGCCACTCAACAACCAACCCGTCGGAGAGTATGCATTTTTCCCCAGCCTCCTGGAATTTGCCAGTGGGGTTACTGACCAGTCTCTAGACCCGTGTGTCTGAGGCCTAACTAAACTTGCTAGTGTTAGCTAAAAGAAATTCACCTGGATGACCTCAAAGCTTCAAAATAATGGTCCCCAAACCAATTGATGATGTCACAATAGCTAAAGCCAGTCTTTATGTACAGTTTAACTTGTGGTTGGCAAACCACATGGTGTCACTCAACAAGAATTAGAAGAAGTTAAGAGAGACTAACATCCTGAAAAAAGTGGAGGTGATGATAGTTAAAACAATATGTGTGAACTCTGTAAGATACTTTATAGCACCAAATTAGTGCTTTACAAGTCACAAACAGTGCGTGATGAGTAGGGAACTCAGTGAGTTTTTACTGACCCAGAGCTTCCTCCTGCTGGCCCTGATGGGAATGTTTGAAGATGAAAAAGTGGTATCTAGGTGAATCTGTGGGAATCCTGTAGGGAAGTTCGTGGATTTCTGTAGGTTTAGTGTGAACCAGCTCGATGGTCTCTCTGTCTACATCCAGCCTCTGCAACACAACATACGCAAGCAAATGTAATTACTTTTGAGGGGTCAAGTCACGTGCAGTTAGTTTCACTGGCAAAAACACACCCTTAGATGTTGTTATCAAATATATGTTGTATACTTTTTACTGTATACATGTAAATATTCACTGTTTAATGAGCTATAAATGTTTTCTATGGGGGCTCACCAGCTGGATGTAGTTGATGCGTTTATGCTTGAGTTGCTGCAGAGCTCGTTTGGCCTCTTCTTGTAAAGGAAACGCAAGACCCTGAAGAGTCTGTGCCCGTTTGTCCAAGCCAAACTCCATTGTTACCTTCAGGGGAGGGAAAAACATATTTGCACTGCTTCTTCCTCACATGAAATGCAACTAAATCAGCCAAAAAAACAAAATCAAAAAACAATCTATGTCTATGCCGAAGACTTCACAAACCCTTGCTCTCGCTGTCGGAGTCCCAGTTCGTCTGCGTTCATCCTGCAGACAAAAGAAACAGTATTGAAATCACTATACAATAAAGTTTTAACATAAACATACCTGAATTCTTTTATCATAATGAAAACAAAATCAACGTACCCACACAACTTTATCCTGCAAGGAAAACACACACAGGATGAGCACAGATAACTCACATACCTATAAGAGTCATATAGCTTTGACAGCCTGTCTGTACCTCTGTGATTTTAATTCGTTGTAACTCCTGCTCAGCTGCTGTGAGAGGAGCTGGGGAGGAGCAGGAGGACCTGTGGCGAAGGTATCCCTGGAAACACACGTCTTCCTAGAAACACAGAGACACCAATGGGTTGGTTGTGAGTGGCAGGCCATCAGTTATTATGCAGGAAGGACCATACTGACCTCCACCGTCCCAAATACTTCGTCTTTGATGTGACCTCCTCCAAACTCTTTCTTCAGTGTGGCACGAGTCGCTGCATACACCATCTTCTGCCTCACCTGGAGAACACCAGGACAGACACAGCGACAAAAAACCTTCACACAGTTTTACTGGTTTTCTGTAGCAGTAGTTCTTTTCAAAAATAAAGTATTTGTGAGGGGGGGGAAACAGCCCGTATAACTCAGTTTGATTACAATTTGTAATTAAAGAAAAAAAAAAAGAAATCTAGTACTAAACGGTATCATTTTTATTGTCACGCAATAATAATAATAAAATGATATTATAATTGTTTTTTTCTAACAAGTTCTAGTTACATTGTTAGAAAAAGTAGTTTCTTATTCACTAGCAAGGGCAACTTGAGCAATCAAACTCTTTTCCATTGTTTTGATTTGATCAGAGTTAATGTGGGGGAGAAGTCCTGCACTAGCATGTGGGATTTGTTTTCTGTTTTCAGCTGTTTTTCTTACTGAACTAATTATAGTGTAATTTGTTTAGGAATAATACATGATTTTTATTCTTATTATCATATTATTTTTAATTTGATCATTTTATTAGCATTTTATTATTATTTTTATTATGATTAATTTTTAGAAATTAAAAAATGTTAAAAATTAAGATAAAAGTGAAACATTTCCTGCAGCACTCCAAAGTGATGGTGTGGGCAATATTGCACACATCCTGTCTATGTATGGAAGCTTGTTTCTGCCACTGGAAAAAATCACATCCATAAGACAAAATGTACCAACCTGTTATTATATAATAATTTTGGGATAATAACCTACAAATCTGACATATGTATGGCATTTCAAACAGTTATATTCAGCATGTGCAGAGGCTGTTTTTACATGAATTTGCTACAAAGTCTTTCTGTGCTCAATTTAAATTTGAGTTTAAGATGTTGGCTCACAACCACGATCACATTAAATCAGAAACTGTAAATGTAAATAAAATCTAAAGATGATTATTTGTATATATATATTTAAGTAAAAAGTAATAATTAGATTTTATTCTCTAAAAAGAGAATAAAATCAGACAGCCTTTCTCTTACTTTTTAGATGATCTCTGAGCCGTTTTTTTGTTGTTAAATTGCTGTTAACTATGTTAAATAAAACAGAATTGAAAACAAAATGTAAAAACAAACTAAAAAACATAATATCTCTGATTCTAATATTTTTGGAGAAGGCAACAACACATCAGATATGTTACAGATCTTAAATTATATTTTTTAAAAAAAATCTATTTTCAATGTGTGTTCACCAACAATACTTTTATGTCCTACTTTTATGTCAGTCTACAGTGATGGTTTCTTAAATGTGCTGCACACATACTGGTGATTGGTCAGGTGACCATGCGATGAAGATCCACTCATAACCCTGTGCGTTCTTGGAGTCCAGGCGGTAGAGGATGTAGCAAGGCTCCAGAGGCGTGAGCAAAGGAAGCAGGAACTGGTCATAATCCTTGTCCCAGCTCCGGGCTGGCTCTTTGTATGAATGTAGCACCAATTCCTCTGCAGAGAGAAAAGAGTGAACAAAGTCAAGATTTGGAGATGTTTAATGAAAGCTCACTTATATCAAATACTGTAAAATGCCACAAATATTCCATTTTTACCGTTTCTGATAATAATCTTCAGGATTCTGATGGCACCTCCCCTCGCTCGGGCCAAAAAATCTTTCAGCTCAGATGTTGCTTAAGTAACCAGATATAAGGCAGACAAGTCAAAACTGAGGATGGGTGGTTGAAAGCCAGTGAGACAGAGCTGACCAAGTAACAACCTGAAACTCTGCTTCAGGGAAAAAAAATTGATCCACTGCCAGATGGTCACACCATCACCTGCAGTGACTCAGAGAGCAAACATGTGCCCCCCCAAGAATCACTGAAGGATGTGATCGACCATCGTCGATAAATCCCCCAATTTGAAAAGCCTAAGGACAGAGCGTCACCACAGAAAACTCAAACTTTGGCTGTTTGTTATGTACTTTCCTTCTCTCTTGCCATGGTTACCAAACACAGCGCTCTCATTAATGATGCAAGATCAGGTGAGAAAGGTGAGAGAGGTTCGCTTCCGTCAGCCTGCCCACCTTCACGCTCCGATTACCAAAAGCCATAACACACATAAAAAGCAATGTATGCATGAGATTCAACTATAAGAGCCTGAATGTGCTAAACGTTGTTAGAACTGACATCACAAAGGTGAAGAGAAGTTTTAAATGACTAAGAACAGATTAAAAATGTTAGCACATACTTTTATAATAACACAGGATAAATTAGCCTAAAGAAGCTAAGCGATCACTTGAGAACAATCTTTAATTTCTTTTGCAGAAAAACATCAGAAGATGTGAAGATGTGTTATTAGCAGCAGTGTAGCTCAGAGTCTGTTAATAAAAAAGCATTTAAAAAGCTTTTCAAACTGAGCTCAGGGACAACTGGGATAAAGCTTAAATGCACAGTTTACATTTAAAAAAATAAACAACTTACCAATAATTCCAGTTTGGTGAGACATCTTTTGGCAGTAAGTTTTCACCGCTTCACACTCCTCTCATCCAACAAGGACCAGGTCCAGGTCACAGTGTGTCCTCGCTCTTCTTGCTCAGCAGGTAGGCTGAGCTGATGGCAGACGGAGGGACCCACGCGCACCAGTGACATAAACGCCTTGAGGGTGACTCAGGAGCTTCCTAACACTTGAAATACAATCTGCGGAACTGTGGCTGATGAGTAATAACGTGCCTGTCAGGGGATATGCCACCCTCACCACTGATCTAAAACTCTTTGCGTATCGATGACCACAACTTTAATAGTCTCGGCGGGGGAGCGTCTAGCAGGTCACATACTGTCCTGTACTGTACCCTGCGGGAGGGCTCTGCAGAAACCCACCACACATGATGTCGGGGGCCAGTGCCGCATTTTCAGATGCTGCCACATGTAATGGCAACTGATAACTCGATCAAAGAGTGGCTGATCAGCTGCAGCAGACGCATGATCTCAAATTCCAGCCACCTGGTCACAGAAATGTGACACCAAGCAAGAATCTGACCGCAACACTTCAACATTGTTTCCTGGACTAAGAATTTAGAGGGTGGGGGCCTCAGGTGTTCACAGTATATTTTGATATGCAAGGTTAGCTCCAAAAACCAATGAAAGGGTGAACAGGGAGAATAGGGCAGCTACATAAGGCAACCTTAAGTGTTAAAACACGAGAATATGAGGTTTCTGATGAGAAGACTGAAGTTTCCTGAGGTGTAAACTGAAGAGATCCAAACATTAAGTGTCCCTGAATGGTCTCAACAAAAGGATGTAGGAACTAACAAGCTCACCAAAGTAACACACACACACACACACACACACACACACACACACACACACACACACACACACACACACACACACACACACACACACACACACACACACACACACACACACACACACACGCACAGTGCGTAGAGAAATTAATGACCCTGTGTACCCTGACACACTCTTATTCACTCAGTTGTGAGGACAGAACCCAAGCATTAACATATTTAACACAGCACCCCCCCCCCCCCCCCTCGACTTCAGGAAAGACACACTTAATGTGCACAAAAAAAAATTACCCACTTATAAAAACAGAAAAAAGCTGAGTGCATTTCTCTCACAGAATAATAAAGTGTGTACTCATAAAAAGCTCTGTGCATTTTACTGTGTATAATAACATTTGTATATCTTATATAATTTTGCCTTTTTTGTACACAATTTTTCTTTTTTTTAGTTTTATTTTTCGAATATGTCTCTAAATCTCTTTTTCTTCCTGTCCCTCATGTGGCTGAGTTTCCCCAGTGTGGGATTAATAACATCCAAAATTATTACTATAGTGGTGTATGATTACTGTTAAACTCTCCAATATGAACATCAAATACATCGACAGAAGGATTTAAAAAAAAAAAAAGAAAATTAATTTTTTATGTAATGCAATACTTAATTATAAAACAGCAAGTTTTGGGATCTTATTATTATTTCTATTATTACTCTTTACTTTAGAGAAAGTTTGATCTTGCTAGAAGTAAGAATTATTGGTAGTAGTATATAGAATTGTTTATATATCTTTCCAATTATGGTTTGATTATTTCTTGGTTTCATAAAAAAACGGGGGCCAAGGACTCCTTAGAAAGGGAGAAAAGAACCATATCAGAGTTTTCACTGGTCCAAAGACAGTAAGAAAGAGAAGAGCAGACAGAATAACTTGGCATGGCTGTTTAACAACTCATTAAAGCAAATAACTAATCAGCTAATTCAATAGCAGCTACTGCATTCAAGCTCTTAGAGATGGTCAAGATGATCGGATCAACTTTTTACAATCAAGAGATGCAGAGAGCATCTCTGAACTCACAACACATTGAACCCTGAAGCAGATGGGCTACAGCACCAGAAGACCACACCAACTATCACTCTGGGGAGAAAAGAAAACTCTGAATATGGACTGAGGCTGCAATTCACTCAAATTCACCAAAATTGGTCGATAGAAGTTTGAAAAAGTCTTGTCTGGTTTGATTTCTGCTGTAACATTCATGCTACGTTGTGTCAGTGGTTCAGGCAGGTGATATATTGGTATGGTAGATATTTTCTGGACACACTTTGGGCTTCTTATTGGCCCTTGTGTAAATGCCAAAGCCTGTGTGAGTATTGTTGCTGACCATGTCCATCCGTTTATGACAATAGTTTACCCATCTCCTTCTTCCAGCAGAATAATGCACCATGTCATAGATCTCAAATATGCCTCAAAGTGGTTTCTTGAATATGACAGTGAGTTCACTGTACTCAGATGGCTTCCATAGTCACCTGATCTCAGTCCATTAGAGCATTGGCATGTGATGAAATGGGAGATTCTCTTCATGTATATGCAGTTAATACACTGCAGGAAAAGTTGGTCCAAGCTGGTACCAGCAAAGTGTACCTAATAAATTGTCTAATGAGATACATTTGTTCTTGTCAGATCGAGAGTTGTCCCTGCGTCTCTGCTGAGACATGAAGAGATGTATACATAAAAATACGACTAAAACACTGAAACAGACTTCAGTTCAGTCCATCCACCCGTCAGTTATGCACTCTTTCTGATAACATTTCCCCTTTTGAATTCAAATAAATAAAAAACTTTAACTATCACAGTTAACCAAAATACAATTTTTTCAGGGTTAAATTTCATGTTGGACTGCATGCAGCAAATATTTCTTTGTATTGTTCATTTAAATATTCTCCCAAAATATAATGCTGTGAATGGGGGAATCCTTCAACTACACACACACATTCTTTCCTGACTTACATTAATACGTTTACTTTGCTTGGAAATGAAGAACATGTGTTTTTTAATAGCTTTTAAAAAACATTGTTAACTGTTAAGTCACTGTTGATTGTAGTGGTTATTTTTTAGTCCTGTAACTTTCAATCAAGTAACAATACAGGAAACAATGACATTACTTCAGCAGTAGAAGGAGGGAGTCCCCTAAACCAGCGGTCCCCAACCCCTGAGCCACGGTACCGGCCCGTGAGTCGTTTGGTACCGGGCTGCAAGAGTTTTCAGGGTTTTTATTGTTATTTTTTTTATAACTGGGTCTTTTCTCATGTGTTATGAATAAATCCTCTTTTTTTGGTACCGGTACTGGTTTTATTTTGTTGTATTTATCCGTGACACCTTAAAGGCCGGCCTGTGAAAATATTGTCAGACATGAACCGGTCTGTGGCGCAAAAAAGGTCGGGGACCGCTGTCCTAAACATTACCGAGGCTGCCGAAACAATGAAAAACTGCTTGGGCTTGCACATGCCCAGTAGCCCACTTCAAATGTTTCGTGTTGTCATGGAAAAGATGAAGATGAGTAAAAAACATTAACTGCTTGGATTTTAACATTTTTTGGCGGATCATTTCCTCTTTAAAAAAAAAACAGGAAGGTAGGTAAAAAAAAAGTTGTAAGGAGTGTGTGTTTGAATTCGTTTAATTTCATTGTTTTAAATTGGTTGAAGTTAGCTTGCTATTGCTAACTGCTTAGCTTATAGTTGCCACACAGTTTGACTGAAAGTTTTACTGAATGAATATCTTTAGTCTTGTTTTGGCACTTAAAAACTATGGATCTTCACAATGGTCTGTGAAAGTATATTATATTTATTCCAGTAAATACTAATCTCCTGCTAAAGGTGACACAATGAATGCAGTTTGGCCCTCCAAACATCCATGCAGATAATAAGTTCAAGTTCAAGTTCAAATGTCACTAGCCACAGGCAGCCCTGGTTACTGCCAGAACTGCTGAATCAAGAAATCACTTAAATAGAATCTGTCTGACAAAATGAATTAGGCCTAACAATCTCAAAAAGCAACACATCATCCCTGAAACTAAAGAAACAGCTGAGAAACAAAGTCAGTACCAAAGTCATTTGCACGACTTTGGTACTCGAGGTGAGAGCTGCTTTGGTGCTTCAGGACCTGGATGACTTTTAATGAATGCGAACATAAATTCTGCTCTCTACCAGAAAATCCTGAGGGAGAATGTCTGGCCATCGGCTTGTGCCATGAAGCTGAAGCTCACTTGAGTTACGCAGCAGGACAATGATCCTAAAAGACAATTAAGAGAACAACTGTCTAATAATTGATCATATGTTGCTTGTGTTTGGTCTTTGAAAGGCTTCTGAGATTGAGGAGTCCTGGGGTCTGTTTGCTGCACTAAATGGAAATGATGACACTTTGGCCACCTCTCAAAATCCTCTCTACCTTGATTCAGAGTCTACTAACATGATTTTTCATAGAGGTATTTTAATGGGATTTTTAAGAACCTACCTCAGCTAATTTGCCTCTTGTTTGGGCTGCTAATGTTTTACACTTGGACTACTCTAAAGGTAATAACATGTTCATAATAATATAATCACACACTAACACACACATACACACCCACCCAAGATAATGTGCAATAGTACAGGGTAGGTATGTGCGCCACAAGTCGACTGGCCAACAAATCATCACTGTTATCACTAGTTGGTACCAGACTTACTAGTCGTTTAATCTAATTTATAAAATTTTTATTGATATCCATTGCTGGTAAATTATTGTCTCCTAAATGTGATGCAGCCATCTGTGACCAGATGGTGCATCATTGTTGAAGAACGCCATAAATCTGTTCATCTAGGCCTGATCACGCAGGGAAGTACACAGGTTGACGAAGGGAAATAACACAGACAAACCAGCTACTAACAGAGGCAAACACAAGGCTTAAATACACAGAGGGATAACGAGGGAATGAGACACAGAAGGAGGACACAGCTGGGAGTAATTGACAAGACGAGACAGGGGAAGCAAAACTCATACATTTACATACACAGACTTTCAAAGTAAAACAGGAAACATAACAGATGCGGACTTGACTAGGAGGGAACAGCAACCCAGCAAAAACAGAAACCAAAAGACTAGAAAAGACAAAACAATCAAAGTACAATAATGATACAAAAACACTGGGTCACTGACTCAGGACCGTGACAGAGAGAGAGATGGTGCAAAACAGAAACTCTTAACTTTCAAGAAATATGCAAAAGAGTCATAAATAAAGACGACTTTCTGTGTTTTCATATGTATGT